ATCCTGACAAGTGCTCCAGTCCCTGCTGCAGAGAAACACCCCAGAACAGGACATCACCACCTCCATGCTTTACTGGAGGAATGCTGTTATTTGGATGGTGAGCTGTATTGGATTTCTGCCAGACATATCGTTTGGTGTTGAGGCTAAATAATTCCATTTTAGTTTCATCTGCCTCAGAATCATCAAGGTGTGTTTTGGCAAAGCTGCATGGGGCCTTTCTTGAGGAGTGGCTTTTTTTCCGGCAACCGTCCCATACAAGCCACATTTGTGGAGAATTTGTGATACTGTTGTCACATGCACACAGAGTTCCTGTAAGCCTCTTGGTCGCCTCTCTGACCAGTTTCCTCCTGGCTCTTCAATCAGGTATGGAGTAGGGCTTTGCACAAATAGTCGAATATTTAATATGTAATTATAATTCGAAAAATAAAAAGCACTATTCGAATTTTACTACATTTTGCTTTGCCAGCCGTAAATGTCCATCACATGAAATCCAAACACCAGTCGACTGAGGAAAGACAGCTGTCCATCACTGCATTCACGACTGCAGGTAAGCGCAGCTGTAGCCCGAGTGAGCTGAGAAGAGAACGCATCTGATAGTCAAATGATCTTGAGACATATGCTTCCTTTAAGTTTCCTCGAGGGAGAGTGGTTTAAGAACAGAAAACACAAAGCGCTGAAAGAAACTTTGCTTAGCACACCGTTATCTTTGTGTCTCAGGAACGTCCTTGCAGCTTGTGTTCTTATTGTTATAAGACTGAGGAGCCAACTTTCACAAGCAGGAGATGTATCCATCTGTATCCATCTCCTGACTTGTGCCTGTCCACGACTTTATCCCGGAGATCTTTTGACAGTTCCTTGCCACCCATAGTTGATTGTTTGCTTCAGTTGCACTACCAAGGACTGAAATGCTCCAGGAAAACTCTTTTCATGCTGAGCTAATCAAAATGAGCACAGCTGATCACAGTTGAGAAGGTGATTCGCTACATCTGATCGAGTTTACAAGTCATTTTACGATCCTTTTTCCAACCTTTTCTTTCTGACCAGGGGCGTGTCTACGTGGTGGCCAGGGGTGCCCCCCCTACCAGATGTCTTGCGATAGGCTTGTTTTTAGTAAATTTCTAACTGCATCTGGCAGTGGCGGATCCTGGCATGTGTAGGCAGCTGCCTAGGGCCGCTTTCTTCTCTTCTTTAAACTTAATTTTAGGCGGTTTCTATAGTGTGATCTTAATGACAATGTCGAGAGTGCATAATGTTACGCGATCCATGTGCGCGAGGACGAATCTCTCCACTCCCAAGCGGATTTCCTTCACTCACACAAAACTGGACGTGTGCTTTTAAATATTGTTCTTTTATGAATTGGCTCTGCTCTGTCACTGTCTTTGTCACTCTTTGTTTAGTGAGTGTACACAATGTATAATAACATACATCGTTCCGCAAACACAACCTCCACCCCGACCACCCTCTTTTGAGCCAGTGCCCCCGGTTGGCCCCCCCATTTAAAATGCTCTAGACACGCCCCTGTTTCTGACATGTTGGTGTTATATCTTTCATCTATCTATGAGTAAATATAGCTTGATAAAACAAAAACTGTGAGGAAACATACTTCAGAGGAAAGTGTTTCGAATATAAATTACGGCAGTGCATAAACATCATATCAGGAACATGATTATCAATGCATGAGACAAACTCACTTTAATTCCTTGTATATTTTCCATGCTTCATTTCTTTCCTCTATGCTTGAGACAGATCATGCCAGAGTAGTGAAATCTTGTCTACACTCAACTACAGTATCTCACAGCAGATGGATCACATGACCTTCGCTCTCATTTCCATTGGTTGCTGGTGCGTTGCTTCGCCATTTGCATAGTTAATTTTTCTCCGCTTCGTTAAATGCCCAGTGATCACTCGTGTTTCTGCAGATCACCAACTTTCATTGAAAACGCATGATTTTTGGTTTCTTTCTTGCTGTATATCACCGTTAATGAGTGTGAATTCCCATAGTGCTAGAAGTCTAGCTGAACATACCACAAGTCTATGGCTGCATACTAATCCTAATCTTGTGTACTATATAGTACAAATAGTGAGATTTGGATTAGTGTGTACCAAATCCTTGTATGTTGAAAACAGTATGCCAAGGGGGTCTGGATAGTGTATTATTCCCAGTGCATTCTCAAAGTATGCATCCTTACAGCTTTTTCAGCTAATATTGCAAACAAATATTTTTTTTTCATTGACCTTTGCAGTTTTAGAAACTGTATGAACCTAGAAGTTAAATAATACTAACTTTAAGGCAATAACTTTACCTGTTCGTCTTGATGATGGGTGTAGGCAGCACACAAGTGAGTCTCCATCCAAATGAAGCCAGCGACTGCAGCAGGGGAATATAGTCTGTCTTCACCTGTAAACCCTGAAAAGAATAAAGTTGAAAAAAATGCTTTAAAGGAGAAAAGTCACACTTAAGTAGCAAACAACTGATTCGAGGTTTGGACTTTAAATTGAAGTCTTTAGGCGTATATTAAGACATTTAAAATGGTGACTCTGTTAAGGTCCACCCTCTATTGCGCTTTTGTTCATGTTATCTGCATGGGCATTATAATTCAAATATTTGGAAGTTTTAAAAGGTTAAAACACATATAACTTGTAGATATTTGGAAGTTTCATAATAAAGGATGTTTATTAATAAAATCGAAATAATTGAAATGATCCTTTGTGTAGATAGATAGTCAGAAATGTGTCATATACTGAGGATGTGGGTTTAGCCTGATAGAAAAGAAATCCTAGTTACCATAGTTACCCATTCATTTATAGGAAAAAAAAACAGACCGAAAGTTGTTTACTTGAGCCTATACTTGAAGCTCGATTTGGGCCCCAGGGACTTGTCTGATTCAGTTTAAATTAATTCAGAGTGATAAAAATTAAGGTTTAATATCTGTTGTGGTAATATAACAGATGTTGAAATAAAAGATGTATTGTATGAAGAGCTCATGAATGTATTTCTCTGTGATTCAGGGAGCAGTGTAAATCAAACAGGGTTGTTTGGAGCAGTTAGGGGTTGTACTGTGGTTTCAAAGAGAATGCTTGTACTCTCATTTCAGGAGGAGCGCACAGGAAGTCAGTGTGGTTTAATAACGGCACTTGTCCTCAAAAGGAAACCATGTCGCGTGTCAGCCATGCGCACACACTCATAATGATAATGCAAGACAGTTCTGATAATGCTTCACTTGCAATAATATGCCATGAGTTTTGGCACAGTCACTGTGGAAAGTTCAGAGTAGATAACAACATGATGACTTTGGAGCAGTCTTCTAAAGCAACAACTAAAATAATATTTAGAGGCGGTTTTGAAAAACTCTACATATGCATAAAAAACATGGTACACACAAGCATTGGATAAAATTAGGTAGATTGGTTTAAGTATTATTATTTATAAAAATTGTGTATTTTTATATGAAATTAATTTTATATTAATATTTAATTTTAATATTTAATATTAATAACAATATATATATATATATATATATATATATATAGTTCAATAAATAAAGGTTTCAGATTGTCTGAACTGAAATTCTTAATAATGTATGTATATATATGTAATTGATACTTTAAAGAATTATACTTTTGTATATGTATAATTTTTATATATAATTATACATAATTTACATTATTGAATATATAGTTTTTAATTATGTAAATTGTATAATTATGTTTATATATATATAAAATTATTTCATTTATTGTATTTACATATTATTATCAGTTATGTGTGTGTGTGTTGTGTGTGTAATAACAATATATTATTAATATTTAGTAATATATGTAATATATTAGTAATATATTTAGTAATTTAGTAATATATTGATAAAATAATAAATGATTTCATTTATTTTATTTACATATTGTCATCAGTTATGTGTGTGTGTGTGTATATATATATATATATATATATATACAGTATTTAAAAATGTTTTTTCCTTACAATGCATTGTGGGATTGCCTTCAGGAAGCAGAATGCATGTGAGGCTGCCTTAAATTCTGTCTACCTTTCAGAACAGCCTACACAAACACTGCCCATATTGATTTTGGGACAGAGCCAGAGTCTTAGTCCTTTGAGGAGGTTTTGTTTCAACACCTTTCCTAGTTATGAAGCCCTTTTGCCCAGATTGGATGACATTGTTGTGGGTCGTGCGTTGAGACCTCAGAGGCCCAGGTTTCTGTTGAAATGGTTTTTGGGTATTTGCGTTGGCCAAGACCACAGCGGCAGCCTTTGGGGAATCCAGATATGTGAGAAGAGGTTTTTGTTGGAAGCGGTCCCAGTAGTGGACCCTGTAAACAGCAACGCAGACTTAAAAGCGGAGAATATGGTCTGTTTAATGGCTTTCCATTGCGGCAAGATTGTGTGAACATCTAGATGCTATTGAAGTGCTACACTCTTTCAACATGGAGGTCAGTGAAATAGAGCAGAACCAAGACTCCTCAAGAAAAAGAGTCGTAAAGTCATCACGAAAGTCAGCTTTCGAAATAGGGCGCATTTCAGAGTGAAGACGGATTATTGATGAGAAAAAACACGTTGGCTGAAATTTCATCATTCTAAATCAGTAATTGATTGGATTGTGAAAGAGAGAACGGAGTCAGGTGGTTTGATGAGGAGAGTTAAAGGAAAGGCAAGAGGGGATGATGATGTCAACCAGGATGGAAAAACATTTTAGAGGTAGAGCGACTTTTAATGAAAGATTATAAAGACAGTTTTTAATAACGTGCATGAATCGTTCACAATAAGATGTGTATTAAGATGTATGTATGTATGTATATTAAGAATACAGATAGGGTAAATTGTGATTTCATGTTGACTTAAAAGCTGATGTGTGCGATTTTATTTATTTATTTGTTAACATAATTGTCATTTATTTATTATTTTTAATGTAATTTGTAGGTTGTAGTATTGTGCGCTTTCACTTGACTCGACCCAGTGGTGTGAATTGGGGGCGGGACTGTTTTCTGTTTGGCCAACCAATAGAAAACATGGGGAGCAGTAATGGTCCAGCAATGACTTCCAGTAGCGTTACTGCAGAGACTCAGCTTTAAATGCAAAAATAAAAGTTTTAAAAGTTTGGGAAGGTTGCATTAAATTGATGTAAAAAGTTAAGACATTTATTATGTAACAAAAGATTTCCACAAAAAAATATTAAGCAGCAAATCTATTTTCAACATTGCTAATAATAATAATAAATATTATTGGCAATAATATTTAATGTGGCTCAGTAACTCCGTACAAGTGCTTTGGAGATTTATGCATGCAATTAAACATTTCCATATTATTTATAGGTATAATAATAAATGATGATATTAATAAATATTTACTGTTTTTAAAATGTATTTATTTAGCTGTTTATGTTTTATATATAATATAAAAAATATATATAAAAATTTAAATTATATTGAAATTATTATATTGAAATTAAGTAAATAGGCACATTTAAAAATAATGTATTTAACTAACAATTTATTATGCAACTAAAAAACAAATATACACATACATTATATTATGTGGAAATATTGTGTGTGAATATATTTTAATATATATATTTCCAATATATTTTATATTTTTTAACTAACTACTAATTTATTAACCAACAAAAAGGCAACTAGATGATATATATAATATAATACTGATATTAATAAATATATATTATATATATATATATATATATATATAGGAATCTTATTTTTTTGTTGGGTAAAAATTATAGGATATTGTAATTATAATACCTAACTAAATATTTATGCATGCAATGCAAAAATAAATTTTTTATTATTAACCACAATTTATTAGTGTGTGTGTGTGTGTGTATATATATATATATATATATATTGTAATTGTGGGATATTGCAAGTGTAATTTTTTATTTCAACAACTAAACTATTCATATATTGAATGACATCATTATAAATTATTATTTGTTGCGCTACATTAAAAAAGCATTTCTCAGAATACCATCAATGAGTGAATGAGTAATGTGCAGTGATTGTCTGACGCTGTTATAGAAACATGATTCACAAGACATTTGAAATAAACATGCAGGCTCATTGAAGACAGAAATATCACTGACAGAAAATGAGACAGTGATTGATGGGCTGAGTCAGACAGCAGCTGAACATATCAATTCAAAATGTCTTACTGCATTTGTGAAAATGCCCTTCTGTCTGATGATTCTATATGATTCTGATGTCTGGCATATACATCAACATGCCCTTACACAATATTAATACTGAATATAATTGATGAAATCTTGAATTACAGTCGTGTTGAATGCTGCGAGATGTCGAGCAGACTTAGATTTGAATGCAGCCCATCGACCGAGCGGCTCTGAATAATGCTGGGCAGAAACAGCATGTCCTTACCCTCAGCTACAGAACCTCCGTCATGGCTGAGTAGAAGAGAGCGAACGAGAGAGGACAGCAGAGAGCAATTGAGAGCTGCAGGATTATAAAATAAATCTCAAAACTCGATTACGCTGATAGCATCAGTACACAGTGCTAACTAACACAACACTGTCCAGCGCACATGCCCCTCACTCACACACACACAGCCCAAGTAAGCATGAGCAAAACCAATTTGAGAAGAATCAGTGGCGAACTGGCACAATATCTGATTTCAACAAGCATGGCTAAGACTCTCTGAGCAGCAGGACCCATTACTGTCACTCAAACGGGATGTTCGGATGAAAAATGGGGTTTCCTGCTTTCTTGTGTAATTCATGCTGTGCTTCTAGATTTTTTTTTTCTTCCAGTTTTGCCTAATTGAGTGGTTTTTAGTAGTTTGTGCAAATAATTTAAGGAATAGTTCACCTAAAAATGAAAATTTGCTGAAAATGTACCCACTCTCAGGCCATCGAAGATGTAGATGAGTTTCTCTAGATTTGGAGAAAGTTAGCATTACATCACTTGCTCACCAATAGATCCTCTCCATTATCTATAAAAACACTTTCTTAAGTGCTATTATAAAAAAGTCCATAAATCCACCCATATTTGTTTAGAGCTGTTTTGGACAGTTTTTTTCTTGTAAACAGTGCTTGATCTGTGCATATTCTTTTCCTGATACAGACGAGACAACTTTTTCTCTGGAGAAAGTAATGTTTTTGCTCATATTTGTGACCCTGGACCACAAAACCAGTCATAAGGGTCATTTTTTGTAAAAAAATTGAGATGTATACATCATCTGAAAGCTGAATAAATAAACTTTCCATTGATGTCTGGTTTGTTAGGATTGGACAATATTTGGCGAAAATCTGGAATCTGAGGGTGCAACAAAATCCAAATATTGAGAAAATCATCTTTAAAGTTGTCCAAATGAAGTTCTTAGCAATGCATATTACTAATCAAAAATTAAGTTTTGATATATTTACGGTAGGAAATTTACAAAATATCTTCATGGAACATGATCTATACTTAATATCCTAATGATTTTTGGCATAAGAGAAAAATCCCATATACATATACACACATATTTGACCCTTACAATGTTTTTTTGGCTATTGCTAAAAATATACCCAAGCGACTTAAGGCTGGTTTTGTGGTCCAGGGTCACATTTTAGCCGGAAGCAACGGTTTGAAATTAAAACGTCTTATTGATGGATTTGTTTCTTACAAACATCCAGCTTTTCATACAACGTTAATTGCTGGACTGGAGTGGTGTGGATTATTGTGATGTTTTTATCAGCTGTTTGGACTCTCATTCTGACGGCACCCATTCACTGCAGAGGATCCGTAGCTGAGCACTGGTAAAGCTACATTTCTCCAAATCTGTTCTGATGAAGAAACAAACTCATCTACATCTTGGATGGCCTGAGGGTGAGTACATTTTCAGCAAATGTAATAAATTCTAATACATTTCACAAATAATTACAATGAAACAGCAAGTAATGCATCGAAATGAGAAATTTTGAGGTACAAAGACTGAAATAGTATTTTCTTACTATATATTATACTCGAATAACCTTATACTTTGAATAATCATTTTTTACAGTGTACAGGTAAATATGACAATAGTACTCTGAAGAACAGAATGCAAGAGTGTGTTTGTTTGAGTGTAACTCACATCAATGATTGTCCATTGTTCCACCACTATAGCGTCGTACGCAGCAGCCGCATTGTTGTCGCTCTCCACTCCCTCCTGGAACACGAACACGCTGCCCACAGTTTTGATGAGAACATCTGCAAGGAATAGAGGAGAAATCAGGCAGTGTTCTGGGTTTAATACGGTGGGTCCAGTGTTGTTTGGAAGTATCTTCTGTTGTGTTGCCCAGAAAGAACAAGTGTTGTAATTGTTGACCAAAGCTACACATTTTTGAATATTGTTTTCTTTAATTAAAATAAAGCTGACATAAAATATAAACATTAGTTGAAAACCTTAAACATAAAAAATAGAAATGAGAAATATTGCACTGCACTAACTAAAATAAATCAGTTTAAGTTAAAGTACTATATTTACTAAAACTGAAATAAATATAAATTTCAAAAATGTAAAAAGATAATAATGACAAAGGCACGTAGCAAAATTACTAAAACTACTAAATAAAAACGTTATAAAATATTAATATTAATAAATATTATAGTATATAAATAATACTAAAATAACACTTTAAGTAACACATAACCAGATGTTCATCCATCTAGAAAGGTAATCTTATTTGAAAACTATTTTTACAGCAGTACGTTTTCATGGTGTTTTTTAGAGCTTGACGTGGTCACTATGAACTGTTGTTGTTGAAAAAGAGCTAAGCTTCTTTAAAATGATTTCATTAATTTCCACAAAATAATTAATTGCATACAGGTTTTGTGTGCAGTTAAAGAATTGCAATTCTCGGATGTACTATTGCTTTTACTTCTATTAAACCCAGTATATTCCTTTTAAAAAGTCAGTGGAAGCTAAATGTATGAAAGCACAGAAAGAAAAGCGATGTTAACTATAGCGGGAATTCTAGGTGATCAAAATATAACTAGAGAGAGAATATGTGCGGATGAGGAAGAAAAGAAAGAGTGACAGCAACAAGACAGACAGAATGAATGACCAGCCTAATTAGCCAACACATCCATGTTGGAATGTAGAACATTTCCTGTGAAATAAATAAAGCCCTTTCAAATGCAAGAGCCGCACACATTTTAATGGCCTGATGTCGCTGCCGCCCCATGCGGCTCCTGCGTTTGGCCCTGTTTTAGAGTGATCTTTATATATGGCTGGATAATAAGCTCTGCTGAGTATTGAAGACGAGCACAGGGGCGTCTGGGAGCCGGCTCACATCCCGCTTTATTTCTGCTTAGTGTCCTCTCATGGCCCAAGAGCTGCCTTATTACCCTTCCTCCATTTACACACTAATACTGTTTGTGCTGCCTCTGTCTGCTCTGGGAGACACTCCAGATTACATTATAGAGGGGCTGAGGGATGGGCGGCCATGGGCCGGCCCCTGGCGGGACCCGATGCGAAGGGGTTTTTCTCAGGAAAGGGAGGGGCCCGGTGTCTGTCGCCTGCATCCTTCCATCAAAAAACCTATTTAAGGCTGCACTTACACAATTGAAGGCATCTCACTGGCCTTTCAAACAGGGCCATTGTTCTGGCCACCTTGCATCAGATGTTCCCACTTGGGATCGTAATTGGAAAAGTCCACTCGGGAGATTGCCTCAGTTGTTGAGCCCGTCTGGATGCACAGCGTTGTCTCAGGTGAGCAAGTCCGACAGGGCGCTCTTTTCTACAGACGTGCCAAATGTCGGTTCAATAAGCCGTCGGCCCCGCGAGAGGCCCGTTTATGGAGATTGACAGCAGAGAGATTGTCCGTTTGATGGAGTGAGACTGCGGGAATATGTGGAGTTAGTCTGGCCAGGTCATGGTGACTGATAGCGTTCAGGTTTAAGTATGTGCCAGAGAGAGCTGCTGATGCTCAAGACAGCTTATGTATATTTTACCACGCGGGGCAGAAAGGGGCCGAGACAGATTAAGGGTGGAGGATGTGAACATATTAAATGTCAATCACTTGAGCAGACAGACTACTGCATTAAAGCTTTCTGTGCTGACATTGATGTAAAAGCTTCTTTGTTAAAGGTTCGATTTCTGTCTCACCTATCAGCACCAAACAAAAACGCAAAACTGATGATGAACTAACGTTCTATCTATCTATCGTTCTATCTATCATTCTATCTATCTATCTATCTATCTATCTATCTATCTATCTATCTATCTATTATGTAATTCTCTTTCGATCATTTTATCTGTCACTCTTTCTATCATTCTATCTATTGTTCTATCATTCTATCTATCTTTCTATTGTTTTGTCTCTCCATATATATGTCTGTCTATTTATCTATCGTTCCATCATTGTCATTCTATCTATCGTTCTATTATTTTTTCATGATATGTTCCATCCATCCATCCATCCATCCATCCATCCATCCATCCATCCATCCATCCATCCATCCATCATCCAGTTTAATATAAACCCTCAAATTTCAACGGCTTTTAAACTTGTATCTATTTATCTATCTATCTATCTATCTATCTATCTATCTATCTATCTATCTATCTATCTATCTATCTATCTATCTA